CACAATGCAGTGAATATCAACCGCAACGAGCTGAATTGCAAAACGTACCTTCGAATGGTCCTATTTCCCTTCCATCTTTGCGAATTTCTTTACTTTTACTATTTGGATGGCTATTTGGAGTTTTTCATGTTGCAGATAAAATCCCTCATACAATGAGCAAAATTTTTTTTGCTTAATGAACATATTCTCCCTTCCCAAAATTTGAAAATTGCCTCCACGCCACGGCACATTGGAGAGGTAATAGTACCCGAGAAAAAAAAGCAAGCTGCGTGCATTTTCTTGTTGAATTTGGAATCCATATATGTATGTAAACAAAGCTTGACATTTTAGAGTAAAATTTAAACAAAAATGACAATTTAAAGACGAAATTCGCGACAAACGTAAAATCAGCTGCTCTACTGCTGCTACCTTTTCACATCCACATTCCACATAGAATATTCAACGTGAAATGCGTTGAAAAACCCTTTGAAAAGCTAAATACTAATGAAATTTCTTTTACAGTCATTAACGTATATTTTCTATTCATACACACAAATACCCAGTTTTTCTACGCAAAATTACTCGATTCAAAATTATTCAGAAACCGTCTACATATGTGCTCCTTGATTCGAATCATAAGCGTCCAGATTTAAAAATAAGTAATTTTTAGCAAAAAAAAAAACCGACCTAAATTCTCATATATAAATATATATATATATATATATATATATATTTCATGATCCACTGATCGGATCTTAACCAGATTAGTATGGGACGACCTCTGAGACGCTACCTTTCCGATGCAAAATGCGGTAACATACATAAAAAAAATATATATTCCGACGAACTGATAACCTCCTACTTGTTTGGAAGTCGGTTAAAAAAAAAAAACTGGTTGATAGGCATGTCATTTTTATGAGCTGTTAAGGCGTCAAAATACCGAATACGGGACGTTAAAAGAAGTACAGAACATTTGGCGTCCCGTATTGAATAAATAAATTATCAGGAGAATTGACGAAAATAGAGGACTTGTCCCGTATAATACATGACGGATGGTCACCGTAACTATGGCTGTAGCTATGTGTTGGAGCCTGGAAGCTCCGGCAATGCGTTGGTGTTATGGCGGTGTTGATGAGTTTAAAAAAGCATAAACCGGAATTTTATTGCATTTAACAGCACGTGAATGGACCACTCTAATGGTGGCATCAAAAACAAGTAATAAAAAATAAAAAGGCTTTGCCTAAATTTCTACCAGGAAGAGAAGAAAAGAATGAGGAGTGTAGAAATTTCTATTAACACGCAAGCGAAAGTGTATTCAACAAAGTAATAAAATACAAAATTTTACTTTTTTTTAGGCAATAGAAATTTGCACTTCATTGCCTGCAGCTGTTAAAATTTGTTTTCGGTAGGCTTAGGTTACACTTTTATGTATAGCACTTTTATGTATGTATTAGAAGGCCGCTTAGCAAAAAAAAGTTGTACTGAGTAGCCTTCCAATAGTTCTAGAGTTGTTGAAAAGGAAAAAAGGTTCTGGATAATTTGAAAAAAAAAAAAACAATTCAATAATTGTGTATGCCAGATTCACGAAGCCAACGACGTGTTGCGAAAAGGTAAACAAAAAATTGTTCTGAGTAGCTTTTCAATAGTTCTAGCAGTCCTGAAAAAGGGGGAAAAAAATTTCATAAAACTCAAGAAGTAAAATTTTTGATAAAAGTAAAAATTAAAACTGTGAAGCGAAGAAAGCGAAATCGTTAGCCCAAGTATGGTTGTGTATAAAAAAGAATACAAACTTTTAAATGTAATCTAATAAAATCTGAAGTATAATTATTTTAATAAACATTTTTCGGCGCAATTTTGCAGAACTTTTTTCCTTTTCAGGAACTCTAGAAATATTGAAAAGCTACTCAGAACAATTTTTTATTTGCCTTTATGCCACATGTCGTTAGCTGCGTGAATCTGGCATGCACAATTTTTTAAGCATTTTTTTTGTCAAAATGTCCAAAACTTTTTTCCCCTTTTCAGGAACTCTAGAAATATTGAAAGGCTACCAGAACAGCTTTTTTTTGTCTCCAGAAGTCGTTGAGATAAAAATCCAGTTGAGACTATTATAGTCTAGGCTTACTTGCCTTACCATTCAATATTTACGCCTTTTTCGCGGGAGATTAAGAACATCGTTCAGTGAAAAAAAAAACCTGTTGGGCTTTGAAAGGAAAAGTCATATATAAAAAATTTCACATTTCTACGAAAGGTTAGTTTAGGGACACACTTGGACAATAAGGAGAATATCCTTTGTGATACTATGAAAAACTGAGCGGAGACCAATTTATTTAGTCGTCAAATTGCCGCCAGCCGATTACGTAATTTCGAATGCGGCTGATTTCGATGCCCGATAGCAGGGTTAGTTAAGAAAGGGCTGAAATGTTTCCATCTTAGACACGCGAAGGCTGAACATTCTAAAAGGAAGTGCTGAGATGATTCCACCAGACTACCAATGAGTATCAATCGCACAGTGGCCTATCAAAACTAGGGAGAGAGACGTCCCTAGTTGCTCCATATTTGGTAAAAATGTTTCAAAGGTGCCTTTCATTGACAGACAATTGTGATCCGGCACCCAAATTATTCTTATTAAGTAAGAGGTACTCCGAAGCGATTGATAGAGAGGTCAGATATTCCCTTACAGGTTTCAAGCGCACCCTCATAGTGTTCCTGATTGCCACTTGACTGTCCCAGTATGTAAGTTAACACGTGCAGCCCAAGGGCAGTCGTAACAGTTGCAGTAAGCAAATTTATTTCTGCAGCTGGCAATCAATTTCAATAGCGGCCAGCCAACAGTAGCTAATTACGACGAATCTGTAATGCAACACCAACATGCAGCTGCACGGTGGTTTCATATTATTCCTATTGATATTGAACATCTGCAAATTCCACAACATCATCACAAGCCAGTCACAGCGCGGCGTTCCTGGAACTCTTCACAGCAGCGATACCAGCAGCGACTGCGACGGTGGCGGCTGTAGGTTAGATTTTAAGAACAAGTAGTTTGTAAGTTTTAGTTTAGTGATTGAACTCACCGGCAAAGCCAGTGCTTACGGTTAATAACGAAGTAATAAAGTTAAATTTTAAAACTCGAATAAACTAACTTGTACTATGCTGCCTAACTGACGTCACACTTTTAAGCAGTGAGTCTACCGTTTCCTTGTTTGCAGCTGTCTCCGCCTGAGAGATACTGCAGAAGTTCGCAAGCCTGAACATGGTTTTAATGGAAAGTTCCCGATAGAAGATACCTTTACCAACCCTGTCTCCAAGTTTTGATTCATCCGTAAAGAAGTTTAACACTCCGTTCTTCCTGTAACCCCGTCCTACCCAGTTCTCTCTTGAGGGAACGAAGACAGAAAAGGTGCTTCTAGGGGCCACTTCGGGGAGCAGTAACTTTTCTGTTCAGGGATGAAGTCAAAGCCCTCCAGAGCTCCAGAGTACCTAGCTTGTGAGACAGTTAACCACCAGGTTTACGTGAGCATCATATTAGTTCGTGCATGCATACCCAGCAAACTCTGGTTGACTACAACCAGACGAAAGCAAAGGTTTCCAGTAAAGTACTTATTACGGTGCACTGACCCGTAGATAAATATGCTTACAACTTCCTTATATGTATAATCATCAGGTAAGCTGACGGAAGTTGGCATTGGCATACGGATTTTAATTAGTTGAAAAACGTGGCAAATTTTCAAATCCATTTCGATTAATTCTAATCTTTTAATAAGTCATTTAACTTATTAGTTAATTTGAATTTCAATTTTTAAACCGGTGGCAACGCTCTTAAAATACCTCGGAGTTCAAATTTTAGGTTCTAAAACATGTGCATAATTTAATTTAATTCGAGTTTTCAAACTGGTGGAAACCCTTTCCAAAATATTTTCAAACTAAAACCTTTCGACTGACACCTTTATTCTAAAAGCTTAAACAGACGGCAGCGTTGATCCGAATTAACTCGCACTTAATTCGGATCAACCGCAGTTAATTCCCGAGTTGATCCGGATCAACGCTGCCGCCTGTTTATGCTTTAATACATATTTCAATTACCCAATTGCCGGAACTCAAGTTGAATTTGATTCTTTAAACATGTGGCAACACTCCTAAATAAAATTCGAATAAAGCACATTTCGCAATAATTTATTTAACTTATTAAGTAATTTGAATTAAATTTTTTGATCAGTGGCAACTCTTTCCGCAAAACTAAAATCCTATTGCATATCTACAGGCCAAACTTCTTAATTTGATATCACAGTTTTGAAAATCGAACGAACGGTGCAGATCTGATGATATTAACAAAAAATGCCTTCGCATGTTACTTGACTATTTTTCTGCATAATAATGAAGCTATTTAAATCTTAATCTCAAACTCAATCTTGATCTTAATCTTAATTGTGACAAACCACCCCCCGCCAAACCTTACAATCTTGTAGCGATTTTTCGTTTGGAATAAGGGCCGAACAAAAGTGCCGCTTTTTCGTTAAATCGATGTTTGTATTTACACTCAACCGAACGCAAAAAAGTTTTACTCCAAAAATAGTACTTTTTGATTCTTCCTACAGGCATATAGAAGTATTAGAGAATGAACTTTGATATAACTTGCTGATTTAATCACCCGCTGTCTAAGCAACATTTCAGCTAATTTTACCTTTGCACACTGCCAATTAATATTGTCTCTCCCATTGCTCATAACAAATTCCATTGAAATTTCCATACCAATTTTTATAATAAAACTTGCATATCCGCCTGTGCCACAGGGCGTATGATTGATATGCCACAATTACTGTGCAACACTGGCGTGAACTTGATGCAAACTGACTGGGAAATTATAAATCGTACAGGTACCTGTGAGTGTGCATGTGTGTTGTGAGTTGTTGTTTGGTTGAGTTATGGCAGTTATTTGACATACATACATGTGATCGGTGCTACCAAGGCATGTACATAGATATGTATGTACATAAAACCGGATATGTGAACGAGTGAATTTGAGCTTACCGCTGAAGGCATTCCTCGCGTCCGGCCAGTGCCAATTTAACAATATCCGCAAATACCGGAATCACAACCCAATCATTTGGTTTCGTCGCTGTCGCACTAGTTGTTGCTGTAGTCGTAGTTCCAGTTCCAGTTGCATGTGCAGCTTCACCACGAATTCCCGTTGATCTAACTGCAGCAGTAGTTGCTAGTGTTGCTGCCGATGTAATTATTTTTCTACTCGCACCTATTGCATGACTACTATTGCTGCTGGTTGTACTATTGTTGCTGCTGCTGTTGTTGCTATTGTTGTTGCCACTGCCATTGCATGTTGTGGTTGCTTTCATTTCCGTTGCTGCCTTAGCTACTTGGCTTCGATTTGCACATAGAGCGGAAGTCGCTGCAATTTCTACCTGCATGCCATCACCACCACTGCCACCTGTTACAGTTAACATCGGTGCACCGAGTACACAACCACCAACAGCTGCTACAATTGAATCGCCAGTCGAGCAGGCAATATCAGCGTTAACTGTTGTAGGTGTTGCCAGCACCTCCGTTATCGCCGCCCCCGCCGCCGCTGTTGTACCATTTACTAAGGAATCGGGTGCCAAGGTGTCCGGTGCGATGTCTATTGTCGCAGTTGCCGCTGCTGTTGCCGCCACCGCTACTGCCCCTCTTGTATAAGCTGTCCGACAGACCGCAGCTGTTGTATCAGTCTTTTGATGAGTCTCATTCAAAATACTGGCTTGCTTATGCCACAAATCGCCATGTCCTTCAGCATGTCGTTGCATGCAATCCAATTGCTGACACGTCATTTGCAATTTGCTCCACTAAAATATACGAAAACAGAGGTGTAGAGAAGATGAAAGAGATTGAGATTAAACACAAATTCAAGCGCATTCTCATATGTATATCTGTGTATGTATGCACATAGAAGATTATTTCTGCTCTACCGAAATAGAATCGACAATAAATTAAATTTGTGTTCGAGCTTGATACTTTTGTGGGTCAATTGGGTGCCTGAAATGATTTGCCATTACTTATACTACTTGATTATAGTAGAACACAAACTTCTAATCTTGCATGCGCTTACACATACACGTAAATACATACATACATATAAAAAAAATACATGTACAGCTGCTGCCTCCGTGCAGCCATTAATGATGGATTCTTTTTACCATAAATTCGTGTCATAAAAATTTTGTTTGAACCGCAACGCTGATGAACCAATTTTTTTATAGCATATAGAAAATAAGAAAAAGCAAGTGCATGTGAAAGAACACTAATCTGGGAATCAGCGTTGTTTATGCCAATCACACACTAAGTCGTAAAATAACATCCGCCTGAATGGGGAAGGTATTTGCTGGTAGGTGAAACGAGCAGTTTTTTTTTTATGATCATTGATAGGAAAATATTAAGCTGTAAGAGTATAGTAAAATATCTATGGAAAATACATAATATATAATAGACTCACAAACTGCATTCTAAAGAAAATATATATGGCAGAACAAATCCTAATTTTCTGCATATTTTTATGTGGTTTTCATGTACCTACCCATCCAATAAGGGGTTAAGTGGAGTTGGGATGGGCCATAATTTAGTATCGTCATACTGTCCATTTATTGAGAAGAGCCCAGCTGACTTCGCCGCGGGCCGAAACATGGTACTCTGTAGTACTAGGTTCAAGGAAAAAAATTCCATCAAGCTAAATACATGGCTGTCTGCAGATCAAAAAACGAGAAACCAAATCAACCATGTTGTGATAGATGGAAGGCATGATTCCAGTGTTTTAAATTATGGAGGGAACACTTTTTCACCCTTTTCAGTGGCAGCAGCACTGAAGGTAGTGGGGAAGACGAACCCGAGCCGAGCCCCCAGTCGATGACGATGGAGTCGATGTCCCACCGTCTGAATATGACGAGATACGGATAGCTGTGTGTAAAATTTAATGTGATTACCTGCCAAAATGACTTAACATCACGGTGCCCTCAAACACAACAGATCAATTCAAATTCCCAGATCAGCGCCCTTAAATGCAAGCACTTCAGTAACAATTGGCACACTGGTCACCTTGGTCGGGGTCGAGGCCCATCTCAACCTCTGCCGTACTATGGGTCCGGCACCCGGTTGCCATGGGACTCCACATTAAACCATTGATAGTTATACTTACGGGGAACACCCTGGAGGAGAGGTACGGATAGGAATTATGCGGCTGAAAAATAACAAATTTGCTGGAGCTGATGGAATTTAAGTGTGCTCTACTCAATCCGCGAGAAAGGCGACCCCGGCGAGAATAGGATCGGCACACACAATCAACTTTTTGATATCAAGGCCGCTTTAGATAGCACGAAAAGAAGTTCTCTTTATGCCGCAATGTCTGAATTCGGTATCTCCATGAAACTAATAGGGCTGTGTAACATGACCTTGAGCAATATCACCAGCTCCGTCAGAATTGGGAAGGACTTTTACGAGCCGTTTGAATGTGACGTGCAATATATCAGTGGAATTAATGTAAGTTGACATACATTCACTTTTGTAAGGGAACTAATTCACCTTTTATAAGTATACAATGTTGTTATGTTAAAAAAATAAATTTTGTTATCTAGACTTAAATTCAAAAAATGAGTGATAATTTCATAAAAAATATTTATAACTACCCAAACCTACAAAAAAATAAAGACGCCTTTTAATAGCAACAATAACAAGCATTTATTAATTCACTTATATAAGAATTACAAGCAAATACCTCAACCAACAAATATTTGCTGTGTTCTGACAGCCGAACTTAGAGTCGTTTAATGACTACTTAAGGTGTTCTTCAGTAACGATTTGAAAAAATTCCCTCTCAGAGTCAGTTAATGATTCACTAACAGCATTTAATGAACATTAAAGTTAAACCATTACTTAACTTTTTAATGAATGATTATGACATTTTGTGTTTGTTTTCAATAAATTTCAATTTCGCTAACTTTGCTGTAATAGCAGCACTGGCCCTGTGAGTAGAGCAATGGCGTGCCATTCGAGAGTTCCGAGTTCAATCCACGGCAACCGAGTTTTTGACGTAGAATACGTCTTACGTTTCGATATGGAGGCTATGCTCAAATGTTGTTGTTGTAATTTTTACAGCTTCACGAAAACGCTTATTGCACGAGAACTAGTGAAGCGATTTCAAAGAAAAGTGTGCCGCTTCAAAGACAAAATACCAAGCCTATCGACAGATACATTTATGTAAGTAGCCGATTCGGTGTCTGTCGTAGAAACAACGGTAAATATTGGCTTATTTTGGGGTAAATTTTGAGCCTTTAAAGTGCTCCAGCAGCTTATGATTTGCAGATAAACTTTCATTTTGGTATATAAGTTCTTTGGAGCAATAGAAACATTATCGTGTACAAATTTTGTATAAATTCAACAAATACCGAGCATCTAAAAGCCAAAAATTGTTGAAAAAATTTGCAAAATTTTTTTAATACCAAAATGCTCGAAAACCGCTCGAATGATTTTGTTTTGTTTTTTGTTCTTTAAATAATCAAAAATTCAGGTTTTTCCTGTCGTTTTTTATTCAAATATATGGGCATAAATGCTTTTCCATACAAAATCACTTCGTCATCATTTTGCAAACACGTACATACGCTGGAAGTGAGGGAAGGAGACAAAAAGTATGTGTGTGTAGATATTTCGGCTCTTGAATAACAGATGGCGTAATATTTATAAAAGACAAAGGTGCAGGGGAATATGTAGATGAAGAATATGATAAACATAAAAGTAAAAACAAAGATGAATATAAAGAAAAGTGTGAGGATGAGGATACCGATAAAGGTAAAGATGAAGACAGAGGAAGAAAGATTAAAATAAAGGAAAATATAGAGAAAAGAATATAGACTGAGGCTCAATCTGGGGACTATTTCAGGATTTTAGAGATTTTCGGAATTCTGAGGACTTATCGATATAATAATCTATATTTTATCGGTTTTGTTATCGATATTTTTTTATTGATTTTGTTATCGAAATTTTTATCGGTATTGTTATTGATTTTTCTATCGATGTTTTCGGAACTTATCGATATAATAAACGATATTTCGATAAACGATTTTATTATCGATATTTTAATCGATTTTTTTATAGATCTTGTAATCGATATTTTATCGATTTTGTTATCGGTATTTTTATCGATTTTGTTATCGATATTTTTATCGATTTTGTTACCGATCTTGCTATCGATATTATTATCGCTTGTCTTGTCGAAATTTTTTCTTAGTGTGCTTTCGTTTTTGACATTGATGTGCTCTTAACCATACCACGTTTAAATTTAGCGGCTGTGTCTCCGATACAGCCTGCAGACCAAGACGAAGGCGCTGGACTGTTCCTTTTTTATCTTTTAATAGCATTTTTTCGTCTAATTTTTAAGTTTTATTGAAAAAAAAATTTTAATTTCATTTAATGCTTATAAAGTTTTTCAATTAAGCTTTTTTTCTTTTTGCTTAAATTTTCTCAAATTTTTAGTTTTGTTGTTAACAAATATATATATATATATTTCTTTTTAATTTCGTTTAGTTTTTAGAAAACTTATTACTAAAAGCTGAATATAATAACTCTCGTTAGCTTAGCTATGCTGGATAAGTTTCTCTTAGACATATTAAATTAATTGCATTACATATTTTCTCAAACCATTAACGCGCAACTGACTTCGCTGACACTGATAAATGAATTCAATATTTAGGCATTTAATAGGTAATACATACCTGTAAATCAATATTTGGAAAGCTGGTGCAAACTCGGCATAAGCAGCTAAGTCTAGGATTTCAAAGAAAACTGCCCTAGATTTATTTAAGGAGCAAGTATAGAATCCACACGCACATTCGTTATGCCTACATATGTACGTCAAATGACACTCGAGCTTATCCAAGAATTAGACTTGAAATTACCACAGCAAAGCATAAATCAGCCCTCAGCAAAAATTGCATGCCGCTGTAAGTAAATGCAAACGAACGAATTTTATCACGACAAAAATGTCGAGACAGAGGAACAAATTTAACAACATCAACGGCAATGCATTCGATGATGGGTGACAGTAAAGTCGATATCGGTGGCGACGAGAATCCGGCATTGTCGTTGGTGGCAAAGGGTAGGGGAGTACATTTGAACAAATATCCAGCAGACGACGACGACGATGACAAGGATAGCGGCCGATAACAATGCATAACGGTGCTGAGCTGAACTTTTAACGACTGCCATTTGGCTGCACACACATACATATATAAATATGTATTCTCAGAAGTGTGCGTGTAGTTATGTGTGGCGTAGAGGAATTGCCTGACTACGCGTCATTGATGTTGGAGTAATTGTGGTGGCATAAAAGTGCAGTGCAGTACAATGCGGTCTGAGCGAAGTGAGCAAATTGAGAAAAGTGAATGTACATATATATGTATGCATGTATTTAGTACGCCCCTCGATAAAGATTGCTTGCCTACGAAGTAATTTTAGGTCACTGAAGATGAACATAAAGGCAATGCATACGCAGAAATACGTCTTCATAGACATACATGTGTATGTATGTATGTGCATGCATTTGTCATACACACAGCGCGCAGTAAGCTGCTATTGAACATTCGATTCAATGGCTGTTTGCATGTTTGGGTGCGCAATTTTTACATTTGTGTGCCAATGAGTCCCCTTAGCAAGGCAGCTTTGAGTAGGGACCACTGATGACGACTACCTATAACCAAGCGCTGCAAGTACTAATCAAGATTTTATGACTTGACTTTTATTGACATAGAAAACATGACTATGACACACAAGCACTAGTGCATACATA